TTCTTAGTTTATTATAAACTGTTCCGGGCGGGGGTGGAGTTAGGGGGTGAACAGTTGCAGAATCCAACTTTCGGTTTCAAAGTTACTCCTTGGATGAGGAGTTAGTTAATCATTAAAAAAATGTCAAGGTTAATCCTGCTTCAAGTTTCAACAGAAAAAAAGAATGAAGTCAGCTATTTTCATGAAGGTTAAACATTTGCTTCATCATGGACAAAGCTTTTTTCTTCTAACTCGTTGAATTCAGCAGGTCCTGTTCCAGCAGAAGCTGCTGTGCTGTATTTTTAGCAGAGAAAAGGCGGTAATCATCTTTCTCCTCTGGGTTTTCAAGCTCTGCGACTTTCTGGTCACCAGGTTCTTTTGGTTAAGTTTCCACAGAAACCAGACGCATGAGTCACTCAAACAGTCAGCCAATTCAGCTCTTCAGTTTTGGGGGGAAAAAAAAAGGGGAAAAAACCCCACACATGCACGGGGCCTGGAAAATGAAAATGTGGAGAAAAAACTGTGGCTGGATGTCGGCGCTCTGCCCGGTTCTGTTCTTACTTAATCTGCCCTCTGCACCTCCTTCCTCTCCGCCTCCTCCATGTCTCCCACACTCCTTCTTCTCCTCTTTTCATCCAAAACTCTCTTTCAATTTCATTACTGTATGTGTCCCTCACATTTTTCTCACAAGCCCCCCCCCCTTTGCACCTTTTCCTCCGACACCCCCTCCACTGCCCTCGACCTCCATAACTCTATGAGCACTGGCAGCTGGAACCAGTGCAGTGACTTACAGTAAAATGGACTTTTTGTTCCCCGGAGAAGTCGTTTAAGGACACATGAGCCTGTTCAGTCGTCCGACATCTCTCTGAGGTTATGAGAGGCCGAACATTTTGCTTAAGTTAGTCATTCAGTGCAGAGCTCGCCACTGTTTGGATTCTGATGGCTGGTTTTGATTACCAACTCTTCCTGTGTGCAGTCTGTGATTTGTTTGTAGAAGAAAATAGTTGTTCCACCAATTAGTCAGAATCTACTGCATCTGCTTAAATACCTCCTTTAATTAGCATGACTAAGCAGTGTGACCCTCCAGTTGGAACAAATAAACAATTGATAAGGAATTGTTTTGTCTTGTGGCATTAAGGGACTTTAAAGTGCTCCAAAATTAACAAACTTTAACGCACATCAGAACTGTTGAAAACGTTATATTTCACAGGTTTTGCAAATGCTCAATTGCGCCCCCTAGAAATGTCAGGTGCCCCCACAGTTGCTTTACCTTTACATACTTGACATGTGCTCCAAGAGGATACCTGTAGGGGGCACATCTGAGGGCTTGGGCTGTAACTACAGGGTGTGGGGACACGGGGACACGGGGACGCTGGACGAGGTCACTCATGTTGATTCTAAGATCAAGGCACAACAAGCGACAGCGGCATTATGTAAGGTAGACACACAGTCAGTACTGTCCCTGGTCTGTTTCTCCAACATTTTCCTCTGTGAACAGACTTTGTTTTGCAGGTTTCTACATTGGCTCCGCCCCCTACTTTTCATTTGCATACTGCATCTAACAGAGAATTGATGGCTGGACCCAAACATGTCAGACGGTATACAGTCACTGAATGAATACCGCCTGTTGGCAAGAGGGAGTAATACTTGTTATGTGTTCTGTCCTGTGTGGCCTTCTCTTGATTTACAGCGTCATGATTTGTGGTTTCTGAGTCTTTGGAGCCGTTCTCTATCGCCACACTGAAGCCCTTTATGCTGTACCCAAAAACACATTTCAATATGAAGTCGCAGCACGTTCTGCTGTTGCAACTCACTCGATGTGCGGAAAAATGTGAGGGGCCTTTTGTGCAGCTTTAATGGTTGTTCTCTTTTTACTGCACCTCTCTGTGGTAACTTTGTCTTCACTTTACTTTCTCCGCCCCTGCTGTCCTCATATATTCTCAACATACACACACAACACACACACACAGACACACACCACACCCTTTAACCCTCCACCACTGGTCCCTCATTCTGCTCCCACAGAGGGAGGAGGCCCAGTGAGCGAGGAACCCTGGATGACTGACTGACACACCCAGCAGATGTGTGGGACAAAGGGAAACATCATAAATGTGTGTTTGTGTGTGTGTGTGTGTGTGTGTGTGTGTGTGTGTGTGAAAGTGAAGGACAGATGATTCATGGTGTATCTATGTGGAGCCTGTTCACCGCTTTTACTAGGAAAAAGGGGAGAAAGAGATGAAACAGTGGCCGTTTACTCTGCAGGCCTCTGACCTGCCGTGTCTGACTCATGCACGGCTTGGACAAAGCTGAAAGTGTTTAGCTAAACATGTGATAGCTCCTGATAACTACCCTGTCAGTTTGTATCATTAATAAAAAGATCTGTGTAAGCGTCATATAAAAAAAATGGAGTTGATGAATCGTTGCTCTCTGGATGATGCAATGTCCCTGCAACCTCTGGTATGAGGAGATCATCTGTAACATGTACAGTATTAGTCTCATGTTTGGGTGGTTGCAACATTTATCTGAGACTTGGCTGCAGACTCTCGGGGAAAAAACCCATGGGAGGAAAATTAAAAATCACATTTCAACACCCTAACGGATTATAAGATTACTGTCGCTATTTATCGGATAATTGGGATAAGGTTGATTTATTTGCATTCAATTCTTGTTTTTTGTTGTGATTGTGTCATTGTCTGATCTTTTGACTGAATACACGGTGCAGGAATAGTCAAGTCAGCCATCTAATGGTATGATGCCATGCTCGAGGAGCTGTACCTTCGACAGTGGATTACTCTGAAGGCAAGAACAAAATCTAATTATTATTCATTAATTAACAAAAAGCACAGTTGCAGTGCAAAGGACAAACACAAACTCCAGACAGCATTTCTTTAGATTAAATGAGTACCCTGATCTCCCCCTGTATTGATTTTTGGGCGCCTCTGAGAGAAAGGTATTGTCCTGCCAGCTCTTCATGGGGTTCTGAGGAATTACAGGCATGCAGTAGAAACATGCACCACACTTCTTTTTCTCTCGTATCTGTTTCCCATCTATCTCCTGAGTCTATCAGTCCTGCCTCTTTGTTTTCTCCTCTTCCTCTGGAATTCCCTCTTTCTCTGCGCGGTCTGTCCAGCGTTTGTCAGCAGGGCCAGAAGTCAGAAAGTTGGTAAAGACCGATTTACAGTTTCACCATACACCAACAGACACACTGACACACAATAACAGCTGTAGGGTACACAGCAATGCATAAAAACTGGCACAAATAAGGAAACTATTGCCTGTTGTCAGATGCACTTAGGAAACCATTTATTGATTAGAGCTGACAGAATCATTTATGGGTTTGTCTGTGGTATGGAGCAATTACAGATCGCACAATAAAAAATCTAACAAATGAATGTGGACTGTTGCAAACAAAATGATTTCAAGCTGTACAATCACCTTTAAATGTCTAAATCTCTAGCTCCCCATGCCTCTATTAAACACAACAACATCTGAAAATGATTCAACGGAGGCCAAACGATTTCAGTCATTATCAAAGAATGTGGACGTGGATAAACAGAAAGCAGAGACTGCTCGGACATGGCATGGGAACAGGTCCCCTCTGCTTATTATGGGACAGGCTGAAGAACCAGAGGTCACAATGTGAACTTCTCAGAAGCTGAAAGAATTTCCTGCATTCGCAGCAGACTTGGGTGTGTGGGGGATTTATGGCAGGAGGCCAGACAGGCGTCCATGTCTATGTACAAAGCAGGGGAAATGACTTTCACATGTGTGCCTAACCCCGTTGTATAATGTATGATATATAAATCTTTAGCGTCATTTAAATCTTTGCACTTCTATGTTTTATTAGATTAAGATTCATAAAGTTTAGGCCTGATATCCCGCTTGGAAGAAAAAGTTGGATAATATTTTCCAAAATCTTCCAGAAACATTCTTATTATTTCTTACTGAGAGCCAGTTTGTAATATTGATTACAGTCCGCTGCAACAGAAGGTAAGTAAAACTGAAGGAGGGTGAATCCAGGATCATGAATATCTTTATGATCCCCAAAGGACAAGTTGTTGTAAGCCAGCAGTTACCACATAACCCATAAACAATGCACAATGTTAAATGAATAACCATCCCATTAGAATTTAATTCACTCAGTGAATTGAATTTAACTGTGTGACTGTGAGTTATACTTACTGAGATTATTATTATTTTATTTTATTATTATTTTTTGGGCGTTTTGTGCCTTTATAGTAGAGATAGGACAGTGGTAGAGTAGATAGAGTAAGAAATCAGGAACAGAGAAAGAGAGTGGGGAATGACATGCGGGAAAGATGCCACAGGTCAGATTTGAACCTGGGCCGCCCGCTTGGAGGACTACAGCCTCCACACATGGGGCCAATGCGCCATGAGCGTCCCACATTGAGATATTATTGACCTTAATCCCTTGATTTTCAGTGAAATGCTTAAGATTTTGCTTTCTTTTTATCCTACAAACATAGTAATAGATTCTACAATTCACTTAGCAGACGCTTTTATCCAAAGCGACGTACATCAGAGAGTAAGTACAACACAAGCAAGGATCTAGAAAAAAGGGAACAATTTCAGTAAGAGCAAACGATCAGCTTTGAGTCCGAATGGACACACAGGTGCTGACAGGAAGCGACCAGAGACAAAGCACAACATTGACGGCAGTAATCAGTATAGAAACCATCTTACAAGTCAACGTTATCAAACAAAAACCATCGTCATTACCATCATCATCATCAATAATATCGAGACCATCATCATTAAGTTAGTAGGTATTCATTAAAGAGCTGGGTCTTTAGCTTTTTCTTAAAGGTGCAGAGGGACTCTGCAGATCCAATGGAGAAGGGAAGATGTAGAATAGATGTAGTTTTCACTCTTCTCATCCTACCGTTGTTAAGGTTGAAAATAATCGTATATCCAAAATGTGATACACAAGCATTAAATGTCTAACTTTGACTGTAAGGATTTGTTGCTCAATAACAGATGACCAAATAGAGTCAGAGGCGTGATGTTGCACTTAATCTTGTTTATTGGTGTTTTGTTACAAATAGTTTTTCTTTCTGTGTTTAGTGTAAGTCCTGTTCACTGGATTTGACGTCCTTGCTCTCTGACACCAGTTTGCCGTCCACCAGAGTCTGGGTCAAAGTCACCACTTTGGTCTCCACTTTCCTCGAGTCGATGGCATCCTCCAGTCTGGAAAAAGAAGAGCAAGGTCAGTACGAGAATCTTAATACACACAGTAGGCAGTCACCAGGTGTCCATGTGCAGAGATTTAGCAGTTGGAAACACAGGGAGCGTTGCATTAATGAAAATGTTTTACTTGACTTTCCAAATCAATGTTGACTCATGTTTGCATTAATCTAATTTTAATCAAATTTGCAAATGCTTCCCTGAGATGAACAAAGCCCCAACTAACCCACAACACATAGTACTAAATATTTGGATAAAGCCATCGTATAAATTACATTTTCACACAATTTTTCTGCCTCTTCTCCTCATACTCACTGTAGTTCACCACCACCGTCCAGCAGCCTCCTGTACTCGGCGATCTCAGCCTCCAGCTTCACCTTGATGTTAAGCAGGACTTCATACTCTCTTGAGTTGTGCTGGATGTCGGAGCGGATCTTAGTAACCTCCTCTTGCAGCCTCATGATGATTGCGTTGTACTTCTCAATCTCCATGTTGTAACGTGCCTCGATGTCTCGCAGGGTTGCCTCCAGGGATGCTTTCTGTCGAGAGGTGGAGACAAAAGCTTGATTTTTAATCCTGATTGATGCAGTAGAGATATGGAGTAAGACAATAAGTCGATTGATACTTGTAATGTTTGTGCAATTATTACAAAGCTACTGCTCGCATCTGCATATAAGCCTTGAGAAAGGGCAAATACAGCTGCCAAAGTCTGTGAAACTCATAAATGACATCCTAGATATTAAACCATGACCTATTATTCTTATCTTATCTGAGACATTGCGGAAAATAAGCATGCATGATCTGTTGCTGTAATTATGTAAACCAGCACATCGTCCTTACCAGACTTAGTGCAGACTGCAGTTCAATTTCCAGCCCCTGATACCTCCTTCTGGTTTCAGACACCACAGTTGTGGCTTCCTTCAGAGCTGTTGTGTTCTGGGTCACTTGCACCTGCACTTCTGTGACCTGAAGCCAAGAACAAATGCATCACATTAGAGGAACCTATGAAGACACAGCCAATCCACCCCAAATTTCCTTGAAGCATTGGCGAGTTACCTGAGACTGATGCCACATTTCGAGTTCCTGCTGGTTCTTTAGTGCAATCTTCTCATACTTCTCCCTCATCTCCTCCATTATCTTGGCAAGGTCGGGTCCTTTACGGCTATCAACATCCACGTTCACGCCAACCTGGCTGATCTGGGCACGAATGTCAGCGACTTCCTGTTGAGGAGGAAATAGTTAGGGAGTGATTTCCTGCAGAAGGTTGGTGGGGTTATCCTGCACAAAGAGGTTAAGGAACAAACAAATTCCTTGATGGTATTTACAGAGACAAAAAGGTATTTCTTTAATCACTATCCCTTACCACAGCATGGTTCTTCTTCAGGCTGATCAACTCTTCCTTCAGAGACTCAATATCGCCCTCCAAGTGAAGGCGCATAACGTTGGTGTCATCCAGAAGCTTCCTCAGTCTGCCAACGTCAGCCTCCACAGTCTGACGCATCGTCATCTCGTACTCCATCCTAAGGAAACACAAACTTGATCAGATATTTGAATACATGATTGAGAGTCTGCTTCATTTGTACACAAGGCTGGTCACTCACTTGGTCCTGAAATCATCTGAGGCCAGGCTGGCGTTGTCGAGGGAAATGGCGAGATGCGCGTTTCCCTTGATCATGTCAAAAATCTGAAAGAAAATAATCATTTTTTAAAACTTTAATAAACTCAAATCCATTTGATACACTAACTTTGCCTTTGAAATATTGTGCAGGTGAAAAAAAAGCGTTTGATAACACCCTGCAAGTCATAAAAGAACAAAGCCTGTTATCTCTGTGACACTATCTGTCATAGTTCAACATGGACATAATGATTAGAGTCTACAGGTGATAAATCTGGGGTCATCAGTCAATTGAAGATACACATGAACCCTGTGGTGTGTAGGAGGTGGAGTTTGTTAATAAAAAAGCAGAAGTAATTCATCCAGGAGTGCCCTTTGTACAAGCATGATGTGACCACCTCCCAACATCAGGGAGGTGGTCATGATCAGGAAAGAGTTTTGGATGAAGAGTTCTTTAAAAAACTGCAACTTCACATTCGTCTTTGAGAAGTTGATTTCTTTTCCTGTACAATACATTTGATGGAATTCATGCTTTTGAATCCTTTCCTTAAAGTAGGAACATTGCAATGAGAGTATAAAGTAATGCCCTGATTGACGCCCAGATTTATAACTTTGCAATGTACTGTTCAGCACAGTCGTTATGTTTTGGGATTTTGTTGGAAGATAAACTGATTAAACGATAGACCCACCTTGCCTCTCAGCTCTTGGATGATGGCATGGTACTTGCCGTAGTCCCTTCCCTCCAAGGGGCCCCTCTTCTCCATGATCTCACTGATCTTGATCTCCAACTTCCCGTTGGCCTTCTCCAGCTTCCTCACCGTCTCCAGGTAGTTGGCCAAGCGGTCGTTCAGGTGCTGCATGGTTGCCTTCTCGGTCCCCATGGCCATGGCTCCAGAAGTGTTAGTGGAGGAGTAGGAATAGTCGTACCCACCACCCATGCCACTGCCTACCCTTGTGCCATAGTCGGCGGTTGAGATCCTGGTGCCATAGCCACCTGCTCCTCCGCTGACGCTGTGGGCATAGGCTGCAGGTCTGGAACCTGTGACTAGAGAACTCTGCCGTCTAAACTGGTGCTCCATGACTAAAACAAGTGTGCAGACTAATCAGAGGAAGAGGTTGTGTGTTCTTGTACAGCAGTTTGGCAGCTGAGAGTGGAGGACAGAGCAGAGTCTGAGGGTCTTATATATAACTCCTAAAGGCTTCCTGCCACTCCTCTCCTATCTATATTACATTTTTACCTTTAGCCTTCTCGCTCAGACTTTGTCCCCGTAACACCCACCCTGAACCAATCTATCGAAGGCTGGAAAAGTATGCTGACCATTTCATACTGATAGCGTTTAGTAAATGAACTGTAGCTATGGCAACACTGATATCAACAGTGGCTCTAAGGATCCAGCAAACCATGTTCAGTATTGTCCCAACTGTCAAAAAAAAATTGATCAAAATAGTAAATCCAACAATGTATTCATTTCTATGAAATTATCGTCCATTCCCAACACCTGATGATTAACAGGCTGACTTCACAGGTGCTTTATTCTATCATTCTAGTTATTTTTCTTTTACTGTTATTTTAAAAAAGTGCTCTTTAAAAAAAGGACTGGTGTCCAGCAATACCCAAGAGCTATGTACACAATCTCCGATATACAATTTAACTATAACTTTCCTGCTGAGTTTAATCACAAAGCTCCTAAAATGTTGAGAACAATTACCTAAAAACATCTTGCTTTGATTATTTTTTACTTCAGAGGTTAATTCTTTGGGTCTCATGGACTTCAGTTGATGGTGTTAATATGTTAGATATGTTAGTGAGATGGGTGTTAATAGCAAATCAATGAGCGGTTCTTTTGCGCTGGAAGAAAAGTTCATTAATTTTTGTTTTTGCTATTTTAATTCATTATATCCTCAACAGAGCCCCAAGTGTGTAATTTGCTTGGCTTGCATATGATGTATCTTGTCAGGCTGACAATGGTCCACCATGCCAAGCTGTTGAAGGATGTTAATTAGCCTGTTTAAAAGATACATGTTATTTAAAGTCTGTCTGAGAGATATAAAAAATACAAACAGCTCGCACATCGAACTCATTATGAACGGGGCACTGGACAGAAATACAAACACAAAAGGAAAACCGAGTCCGTACACCAATTCCAATTTAATGAAGTACATTTGATGTTGAAGGGCAAGGGCCTGAAACTTAACAAACCTGTCTGTGAGAACCACAGGCAGGTTTGTGAAGTCATAAAGTATTAAAGAATTGTTTTTCCCCCTTCAATAGCATGCATTGACCACAGGAAATGTTTTAAATCACAGAAGCCGTATCTTTTAACTGCAAATGTTTACATAGGAAAGGGCTTGTTGCTTCAGAATGAAACAATACATGCAGTTGTGCAGTAATAAAAAGGGCCTATCAGATGAGGAAATACAGTTTAAATTACAATGACACAGGGCTTTACTATTCACTATGACAATCATTCGATCTTTTATCTCTATGATTGTGAGTTTAGCAGTTTAATAACGCTGAACTGGTTACAAAGATAAATCAGGAAGAATGAGGACTTTTATGTTATTGGTTGATCGTGTGTGGGCCGACCCACTCTGCCAAAGGAGTGGCCTCAATAAACAGTATTGTTCTCTGACAGGGTATTAATGTTGGCAGTAGTAACACTACACAGTGATTGTAAAGGTATAAAGATAGAAGTACATATTTCAAAGAGAAAAGGATGAATGATGCATGCTAAGGTTTCCAATGGACGTTTAATTAAGGATATTATGAAAGTCAAGCATTCACTCTAGCCTTGTTCAGTAACATGGTTGTGTGTTCCTATTTGATTATAGTTTTAACATTGACCCAGGGGGTCATTCTGCCCAATAGTTTAACAATTCTGATCAGGAATGAATACAGTAATTGTTCCTCTGTCACTAAATCAGTTTATTGCATCGACGCTATGCAGATGATACACTGCTATATTTGTCTTTGCCTCTTATAACTTTACGCAGCCCTACACCTTGAAATAAAGGCCTGAGAAGGATCTGACAGGCAGAATACCTTTCTCCACAAATAAAGCAATATATCGGAGGTTCTTATCACATCTTACATCGAACATGACATACAACAACCGTGTTAGGTTAGTCACCCTGGTTACCTATTGAATGCTGAATTGATTTTAAAATGCTTTTGATCATGATTAAACACTCCAAGGGTAGGCCATGCTGTCTATTTGTGAAATATGATGTCCTCTGGCAACTCTGAGCTCAATCAGTGCTACTGACCTCATGGCTCCCCCCTTATGTTTCCGCTTAAAACCACTGGGCTAGGGGCGCTGGTGACATAGTGGTTAGTGGGTGGCGCGCCCCGTGTATGAAGGCTGTGGTCCTCCAGACGGGCGGGTCGGGTTCGTGTCCGACCTGAGGCTCCATTCCAACATGCCATTCCCCACTCTTTCTCTCTCCCTGATTTCCAACTCTTTCCATTATCCTATCCTATCCTAAATAAAGGCCCAAAAAAGCCCCCCTCCAAAATAAATAAATAAACAAACAATAAACCCACTTGGGTTTTGTAGTTGTGTGGTTCATGCTCTAGAGCATACTCACCTTGATTAATAAAAAATAAATGTTAAAAGGTCAGTTGAAAACACGTGTATGTAGTCAGTGTTTCATCCATTAGTCTATAATTTGTGTGGTGCTTTGATGTTTACTTTTAGATGTTATTTCCTGTTTTTCATGGTTTGCAGAGTAGCACCTTGTACCTTCGGTTTTCTAAAGGCGTGTTATAACTAATGTTTCCTTTTTAACTTATTTTCTGATTTAGAAGTTGTTTCTGTTATTTGTTGGCATGCAATTTGTTTTGGAAATGTCAGCCATGCTCATTTAGAGTGAGGGGACTTCATAATGACAAGACCATGAACGGAGCATGTGCAAAAACGTACTGCATTGGAAAGGCCCTGTCTGTTCGTCTGTTCATGTGTTGTATTTTGAAAAATACATGCAACATGAGACATTATTTACTGTAAAAAGTGACACACACACACACACACGGGACAGTCAAAACACTGATCACAGCAAGGTTTCGTCTTGGTTGGACTTTATTGGAATGTCTGAACATCACAGCACATCGGGCGGACTAAACTGGACAGAAAGAAAACCAAAGATGATGAAATATAAAAATATGTTTTTGCATTAAATTGGACTCTTTTTCACTTTGAAATTTTTTGTGTCTTAATTAGTTCTTCTCTGATAGAGCTCACATTTCTCAGATTTAATGGTAAACATCTGAAGCTGAACGCACAAACATAAATAAACCATGATGAAATAAATAAAAGATGACTTAGTTTTTCCTCTGATCCAGTTTTCTCATCAGCCTGTGTAGGAGCTGTGTATCCAGGAGGTTAAACTAACTGTGATGGCTGAGACTTTAACTGTTAGTGCTGTATGACTAAGAAGATAAATTAGAACCCACTGGGAGGCGGGGTTAATTTGGACCAATTGCTGGTTAGTGTTATGATGCAGTGATAGTTATTGTAGGGAGTATCGGGTGGTTGCTTCTGGTTTTTAAACATTCTTGGTTTCTGTGCTGGAGGACACCACCTTGCCATCCACCAAGGTCTGTGTGACGGTCATCACTTTGGTCTTCACCGTCTTCTGGGTCAGAGCGTCCTCGAGCCTGAACAGAAAGATCGAGAAGAAATTAATATCCATGTAGTTTCCATCATCTCTTGCTTTTGCAGGTTGAATCTACAATCAAAATGTAAAATAAAACTGATTTCAAACTAGTTTCACTCCAAATTCTAGATATTTTTCTTTGTTAATTTAGCTGATATTTCTTTTTAATTTGGTATGGTTACACTCAGATGTTACACAATTCATTATTTGATCCAATCATAGAAAAACACGTATATGGAAGCTGTTTGGCCATTTGCACCTAGCTAGGTTTTTGCATCAAGAGGAGTTTGACTCCTTTATAATATAGCACTTGCTAGTGCTACGGTTCGTTAAGCATTGCATTTATATCTTTCATCATATAGGAGCATCTCAGGTCTCAGAAATGTATTGAATGACTTTACATACGAGAAGTTTTCCCCGTCCAGCAGACGTCTGTATTGGGCGATCTCGGCCTCCAGCTTCATCTTCATGTTGAGCAGGGCCTCGTACTCCTGTGTCTGTAGCTGGATGTTGTTACGCAGCTGTGTGAGCTCCGCCTCCAGGCTCAGGAGGATGTTGTTAAGAGACTGAATCTCCATATTGTAACGCATCTCCGTGTCCCTCAGTGTGCCCTCCAGAGATCCTTTCTGCAAATAAAAGGCAGGGGTTCAGATTTTACAGATGACAGCACCATAGCGTGTGGTTACCCGGGTGTAAAGCTTGTGTCAACAAAGTGAGTGTGAGAGACCTGAAGTGAGAGTGCTGAGTTAGGCATTGCAGGGAGTTAAGATAAGCGTATGCTGAGGTCAATGAAGTGTGTGCTGACTGAGCTCTACTCACCAGGCTCCCCTGTGACTCCAGCTCGATCTCCAGAGTCTGTAGCTGTCTGCGCAGGTCGTTCACCTCTGTCTGTGCACCCTTCAGGGCCTCTGTGTTCTGGCTGACCTGGGTCTGTACTTCTGTTATCTGAAGTAATCATTTAAAAAGAAGTAAAAAGGTTTAAGCTGCTTCAGGGGAATCTCCTCGTTTGCCGATGATACTGTGATAGTGTTCAAAGTTTACCTGGGATTCGTGCCATGATTTGAGTTCGTCCTGGTTTTTCTTTGCCATCTTCTCATACTTGGCCCGGATTTCTGTCATGAGCTGAGCCAGGTCCTGCCCTTTAGGGGCGTCAACATCCACATGGACTCCTGACTGGGCGATCTGGTTACGGAGCTCCATAACCTCCTGAAGAAATAAGAGAGGATGCAGGAATGAGTCCCAAATCTTAACTTTCATTTACACATTGAAGTGAAAGTCTAGATTCTACTGCAGCTTGAATGACATAATGCCCACTTGAAACCCTATTATCATGCAAATAGAGCGTTGCTTTAATTTTTTTTACGAGCTGTGACCCAGCCATGACTGCCGCCTCTTCAAACCAAAACCACATTATGGTCAGGTAAATACACAGGGGGGTCTTAAACATGTGTCTGTGGGGTCCAAAATACTTAATTCATACAGTAAACAAATGCTTGTGCTTTGACTTATGCACTTTTAATGATAGTCATTTGAATTCTTTGTTGCCAAATATGGATGGGAACCATTTTTATGATGAGGTTTCCCGCAGAGTTCACACAAATATTTCAGATTTCTCCACAAACCTCTTTTTATCACAGAAGTTTTCTCAAGACTACTCCCAAGACTTTAGCACACACAGAATGGATATCTAAATTATTGTGGTCAGCTGGTAAAAAGCTGGGCTTGTTAAGGTGTGGATATTTACTGAAATGTTTTAAGCAGTGCAAAAAAATGTCCACACTGAGGCTGCACGAGTGTAACCTCTGACTCAACACTGACTTACTGCTAGTGCTAAAGTCTTCACCATTTCTTGCTTTTTTCACTCAACTTCAGTGGACTCAGATGGAAAAATGTGATGTCACTGAGCACAAATTGGATTTTGGAAACTTTTGAATTCAACTGTGATGCCAGTTTTGGTATAACCACGCAGTCTATACAAAGTAGAGTAGCTGTTTTTGGACCTCCTATGAAACCTCTAAGATGTATTTTAGCTATCATCTGCTTCTTGTATTTGGTAATAAATATTCTTATATCTTATATATAAGAATAATTAGCGTAAACCTCACGATACATTTTAATTTGCTCGCTGTTTTTTCACGTCATCATACTCACATTTTCATGGTTCTTCTTGAGGTGGATGAGCTCCTCCTTCAGGGATTCGATCTCGCTCTCCAGGTTCATGCGGCTCATGTTTGTGTCGTCGATGAGTTTCCTCAGACCAACGATGTCAGCCTCCACAGACTGACGGATGGCAAGCTCGGACTCGAATCTGACGATCAAAGAAGGAGGACATTTTCAGCTCGGCTCAGCTTCACAGAGATTGGTCAAACTTTGTACACATATTCAGAAGAACTAACTCAATGACTTAAGACTGACGGAAGTGATCTGACCTGTACTTTATTTTTATGGGCTCTTTCCATTTGTCCCCGCTCAAACATGGTCATTATTTGTTCAGTAACCATTTGCCAGCTGTGTTTGCTCTGACATTTTATTTACGACTCATATGAACGTCTCCCTGGCTCTGATGCAAAGGTGATGATTAATAACTACAAGACAAACAGCTGTCTATTCAGACCACGTCACTATGTGTTCATCCTTCCTCCCATTCTCAGAGGTATACTGGGATGGACTTACTTCACTCTGAAATCATCGGCTGCCAGGCGAGCGTTGTCGATTTGGAGAACCAGACGGGCGTTGTCAGTGGTGGCATCAAACACCTGGAACAGGTTTACAGAAGAAAGCGGTTATTTAGATTGCAAACTGAGGATAGGGGCCTGAACAGATCAGCTGACACTAAAGAGCTGACCTCAAGCCTTTTTAGCTCTGCAGACGGTTTGATGAAATGATCCATACCCCCCTGATATTGTGCTGTGCATGATTAGCATAGCCTTAATTAAGGAATGAAAACATCTAGCTATGCCTCGTCAAAAGGTAAATAAAGTAAATCTTCTGTTCCTGGTTAGGACAACACAAAACCCCTTTCAACTTGTTCAATTAAAGAAGACAAGCTAACACATCAAATTCTTGTTTTTAAATGTAACGTCATCGGCAAATTTTGATCACTTCTATCAGAGCAAGCAAGTCGACCTCGAAGGCTAGCATTAGCCCATTGTACTTTGTGCTAAGCTAAGCTAAGCGGCTTTAACTTTGTCTTTTTGATTACCGACATGAGAGTGGTTTCTGTTAACTCATTTGTCTTGGCAAAAAATGGACAAGCATGTTTTCCTAAATGTTGCCTTTGCTCTCTGATAGGTTTATAATGCATTACAAACAAACTTTTTGTCGGACTAAACAATGTCACATTTTCTGTAAAATTTAGATTTTGACCACGTAAAAAAGTTGTGTGTTTCAGTTTTGGAAACAGGCTTTGTGTGTAAACGAGGACGGTGACAGCGGGCTTCTTCAAAAAACCAGATGGTTGCAGTGTTTGCTTTACTTGTCACAGTCTGGTAGATAATGGTTGGGATGGATGTTAGGGAGGGGTTGGGTGGGGTGGGTGGGTGGGGGTGTGTGTGTCCAGGTGACAAGGTCCATGAGCCAATCATTGGCTGCCAGGCATCAACTGTCCTGTCTCTGTGGAGGAACAGGATCTTTCCTGTCAGCAGGACCGAAGCAGGTGATTTGCATGAGGAAGCTGGTGATAGTGGTTGTGTTGGAGGCTGTGTGTGTGTGTGTGTGTGTGTGTGTGTGTGTGTGTGTGTGTGTGTGTGTGTGTGTGTGTGTGTGTGTGTGTGTGTGTGTGTGTGTGTGTGTGTGTGTGTGTGTGCGCGCGCGTGGTCATGTCAGTGTGCGTGCATCTATATGTTTGCATGGCAGGTTTATTGTGGGTGTGCTGCTCCGGTAAAGGCCGTTTTAAGGTTGTAGTGAGAGTCTGGGTTTTCTCAGGCGGGGGCTGGTGGAGGCTGAGGCCCCATTTGAGTGATTTTTGCATCACACCAGAAGAAACATGAGGCAATTTTGACCCCGGGCTGTTTAACCAACTGAGGCCCTCAGCTGTGTACGATAAAAATAAACAAATCTAATTTCAGTTTGAGGATAAACATTTGAAGTTTTCTTCTTTTTCCCTTCCTTTATTGTCCTTATATGTCGTATCATTGTTTCATCTTTAGCTGATGATGTCGTTATCTGAGTCGTTCCCACAGGGAAGAAAAGTTAGAAAAACACAAGCTGCGTTTGTGTGGAAAAGGTTAAATGTAGGTTTAAATTTAAAACTGGCAGCAGGATGCGGGTTACACAGTCTAGTTCTCTCTTTGTTCAGACCGAGAGGGGGGAAACCTGGAATTAATGATTTACAAAATTTACTGGTTGTGTAACGTCTCGAATTTGATTCCAGTTTTGTCACTTTTTAACTTTAACGGATGCTCGTGGATGGGCCTTTCAGGAAGTGTGAAACAAAACCTGCTATCTAAAAAAATTGAACAAAAAGAGCTACAACGCTTCACCTTGAAAGATCATCTCACATTACAGTATCTGTTCTCCCCTGCCTCCATACTTATATTTTATGTACACACAGTGGTAGTGACTGTACTGAGGGTTCAGTCCCCTTTGTCGAAACAAACACACACGTTTTAGATAACACTAAACAAAGAGGAAACAGGTAGTAAAAGTCATGATGTATGAGACGGCAAGTTAAGTCTTTACGGTATTTAAAGTCCCTTTGGTCTTTTTTTTTTGTTTCTGACTGCCTTCCTGTCTGTGTGTCTGACCCCTGATGCTCCAACATTCCTCCACCATACTGTTTCCGGTCCAGGCCTCGGCCCCCCCAGCCCCGACGAGTAGCATCGGGCACCAAGCCGAGGACCAGCAGGAACCCATTCACTCCTGGAAACTACGGTCAAACAGTAAACCCTGAGACGTGAAGGGGCTACACTCAGGTCAGGGGGTCCAGAACATATTTGTTCAATATGTGTGGTTACCCACATCTTGCTCAATCACTTCACTGGAAGGATTAATCATCTGAACATTTCTTCTCTCTGTTTCATGTTTCAAATCACAAATCCACATAATCTTCCCCTCACCTGCGTTTACTCAACACTTAATCACCCCTCCCCCCTCCTCACCTTCTTCCTCAGGTCGTCCAGGATGATCTGGTACTTGCTGTAGTCTCTGAAGTCTGGTCCGCTCTTCTCCAGGGCCTCCTTGATCTTAACCTCCAGTGTGTGGTTGGCCTGCTCCAGGTTCCTCACCGTCTCCAGGTAGTTTGCCAGCCGGTCATTCAGGTTCTGCATGGCGAATTTCTCGTTGCCCATGATGTCGGCACTATTCCCGCTCACCTGGACGCTGCTGGAGAATCCTCCACCTCCAGATCCCATTCCCATCCCCATCCCGGCTCCCAGCCCGCTACGGAAGCTGGAGGAGACGCTGATCCGGTCCCCGCCGGAACCTCCATGGAGGCTTGCAGCCCTGTAGACAGGGCTATGGGACACTGAAATAACAGGCTTTTTGCTAGAGGAGGAGCGCACAGAGAATGAAGATTGCCTGGTTGTTTGCATTGTGGCTGTTGAGTGAGACTCAGTGAGAGAGACTGGGACTTAGAGAGAGGCACAGGCTGGGCAGGCAGGAGTGGGAGCTCACAGACACAAGGCAGGAGGAGAGAGGAAGCTCTAAAACTATTTAAACCTTGTGGGCCCTGAGGTCCGCCCCTCAGGCCCCTCCCCCCCAGCCTCAGTCACCTCCTCCTTTTCCACAGCCCCTGAACCGCAGGACTGCGTGCTGCATGCCTTTGTCCTTCACAACCTGCCTAAGTTGGTCACTTCTGAAGACTTGCAGGAATTCAATAAAGTTGGAGATTTGAAGATTTTTGAAGATAAAAGTAGACATTTTTCATTAGACCTGAATGATGGACTTTTCAGGCAGAACACTTAAGTCCAAGAACATTTTATGTTGTCATCCAAACATTTGCCCTAAAGTTGTTAAAAGCATTCATTTTCCTTGGTATAAATTCTATAAATCTATAGTTTATATTGAATCTTTAAGGGGAACTTTATAATGAAAAGATAGAAATACAAGCCTATATATTGAAGATATGAATCTAAGTTGAAACATCTGTTAAGTGATGCGTCCATTAATTCTAATTACCACCATTATTAGGATAATTGATGAACATTTTTAGATATTTTTCAAGGAAGAAATATGAAGTTTTTCCTGGGTCTCTCTGTTTTAATGTCAGAATTTGATGCTTTTATTGTCCTAAGGCAGACAGTAAAGCGTTGACTGCTTTCTCACATGCAGGGTATTGGATGAAGACACACTTTGCAGATGCTTAAAAACTAAACGGTTAACGTAATTAATCATAAAAATAATCAGCATTTGCAACACTAGAGTGAAGCCGCGCTGTAACGTAATCATTTGGGTCGTCTATAAGATGTTTAACAACCAAAATATGTCAAAATAAAGTCTAAAAAGCAACATTTCTCTTTTTACCATCTGCATCCAACTCATCAAAATGTGGTAACTGTTGCTTCACCGTCCCCACCTTAAAATAATTTTTAAAAAAACTGACGTACAGAGTCAGTGTGTCAGGATGTGGTCTTTCAGTTCACTGTAACGATTTCATCATCGTCTTTACTCAGAACGGGCGTGTAAGTTTAGGCGCTGTCACACCTGCAGACGTCTACAACGTTTGAAGTCATCCGATGAGAGAGAACGTTGCATCAGATTTATTAGGAACAAAACACTTGAGATAAGACTCCAGTGAACAAACACTTAAACTCACAGGAGTTTTTATTTTTGGATTTATTACGAGCAACATCAGAGTTTCTTTCAGCACATTTTATGTTTACAGCAGTTAAAGATTGCTTCACGAGTAGGACTTTGAGGTGTCAAACTTTTGCAATCCTGCTCAGGTTAGTTTGTCACATTCATGATTGTGCAAAGCCCGTTGTGATATTGAATGATAGACAGATGTAGAAAAAACAGAGAAGCAATGCTACGTTGAATATGTTTCAATGCTTTTTCAAAATCCTCTCCTTGTTTGTGCAGAGACTTTAGTAACTTTAGAAAGACATCACTTCTCAGAGGTGTTTTTTTCAGTTACAAGCTTCTTTAGTGATAAGACGAGGGGCGGCTGTGGCTCAGTTATTTCAGAGCGTGTATTTGTCATTGGTCAGGGTATTCGGGTACTAGGCTGAATAAATATTTCCATCAGTGTTAATTGTTCAAAAGTAGTGCAACAACTATGAACGGGAGTTAATTTCCCAACATTTTGATATCACTCCAGTCAATCCATTGTTTCCTCTGATTTCTGTATAGTATAAAAACCTGAACCAGAACAAATAGAAACTATTGTCCCCTTAGAGCTGCACACAGCACACTTTAAAGTCCAGCTTGCATGAAAAGAAACAGAAAGAAAACATTTGACAAAGAGCGGATAAACCGTCCTGTAAACTGTACGATTCATGAAAGCCTTGATGTCTAACAGACGTGTGGAAAAACTTTGAATGATATGAGCGTTTGAAGGTGTGAGGCAGCAGACGTTATGTACAGTACAGCATGTTATCTATGCTACATAGGCGGATGTGTGTGTGATTGTCCCCCTCCCATTAAGGATACAGTGGAACAAAGGAACAATTCCTCAGTCTCCTCAGTACAACCTTCAGAACAATGACTTCTCTCAACCTGTAAACATATTCCAGAAACCCCCCTGCTGGTTTTTAACACAAGCACATTCCTCACATTGTACCTCTGAGGGTAGTTGTTATTGGATTAAAACAAGAAGAGGAAAAACACCTTTTCTTTCTTTTGGTTTCTTTCGTGTTCTCCTTTGTTCGGGGGTTTCATGTGTGCCAAACACATTCACTCTTTTATAATCATATTTCGTCTTCTAAATCAGTATCAACTCTGGCTCAGATGCATATTTGTGTGTCTGCAGTCATGTTCAGTCTCATCCTAGCTCTGAGTTTTCTGTTTGTTTTTGCAGGAAGGAACACGCAGCAGGATATTAAAGTCTAAAGAGCTCCTGATGAAATCAAAACAACTCATGTACCGTCAAACAAAAGGGATTCCTGCTAATCGTAGCAATAAAGTGGCTTCATAAGGTTGCCCCATATCGTGTATTATTGTAGTAATGATCCAATTGCATAACGAAAAGTGTTTATATCTCTGCTTATATTGAAGGAGAAAAAAAAGATGGAAAAAGAGAATACAGATAGTAATCAAGGTGGAGGAATTTGTTTTTTCTTTGAATCACCCGATTAACATCTGACATCCTGAAAAAAAATGAGTAATCCCAAAAACAAGACAAAACCATCCTCAGTCACACGCAGTCTGCGGCTGGTTATCAACTGTGAGGATTGTTGTTAGTCGAGCAGCGTGAGGTGACAGATGGTTGGCACGCCCGACAGAGAAAACAAAGATGAAGGTCCAGAGATGATCGCTTCATGGAACGTGTAGTCTGCAAGTTCAAACACAAAGATTGTTTGGGTTTCAGCTTTAGTGCTTTTCTGTGTAAACCACTGACACAAGACAGATGGATATCTTTTCAAATTCAGCCCAAACTAGTCTAGATTTGGTGGTGCTGATCCCCATTTTAAAACTCACTTATAGTGTTACAATGCTGGATACCCAACTACATGTGGGCAAAGTTTGAGGTAAACATATGTTGGAGTAATCCCAGGATGAGTCTTAAGAGGGCGCTTAAACAGCTTTTTCTGCAAATCACACAATAGTTGCCTGATATGAAACCAAGAATTTCATCAGACGGCTTCAAGCAGCTGGTGAAACCTCTTACATAGACTCTCTTCTCCCAGTACTGGAGAGCAGCCCTCTCTTGACAGCCCTACAGCGTTCTGCCCCCCTGGAAGACTTCCAGAGAGCTGGCCAATCAGAAGAAAGTGGGCACATGGGGAGGGGAGACAGCAAACCATTTCAGGTTTGGCGCTTTTCCTGACACCGGCATAAGATAAGCTGCAAATCTTGCAAAGCTGCTCTATAGGTTTCACAGACGGACAACATGAAAGGTGAACAGGCCCAAAAAAGACAGTCTGTTGAACCATTAAGTCATGAACGCTAACTGCCAAGCTAACAAGAGGGTAGCAGGAGATGATATCTATCTTGTCGTTCACTCTGCCATGGGAAAAAAAAAAGAAAACCGACTTTCTCCTATCATGTTGTGAATTGTTTGAAGGGCTTCATTAACACCTGTCATCCAGATGTGAGAGAGACAGAAATTGGAGAGGTTGTTCCTGTGTGCTCATGTTTCATCTTGGCAGGAGGTTTATTGCTTTTGCATGTCAGCCACCAATCAAGCGTTCATTTCAGGTGAAATCAACATGGTGATGAGTAAACTCAGTGCAAGTCACAAACATTTCACAATGACTGTTGCCCAACGGTACAAAATGGTACCATTAGATACCAATGGTTCCACCTAGCTGAACAAACTAGCGCCATGTTTTTGCAGGCATCCTACTAAATGTTCATGGCGAGTAAAGGTTTTGTCCTCTGTCACAGGTTTTGGGAGGCAGCAGGGCCACCTCAGACTTTCCTCCAAGGATCTGGACAAACGTCAAGAATGTTTGTCCGTCATCACAGTGATAGTTATCATCAACGTGCCCTCCTCCCTGCAAGATGTTAATCCCTGTTTCCTCCAAGGGTAAAACAGTTTGTTCCCATACTTATGAACAAATTTATTAATGTTTTTAAATCCTATTAAAGGCTTATAAAGCTTGTATTATTAAAGGATGTACTAATATGAGACATGAATGTTTTCCAGCTTTCAGGCAATCACTGAATGTTTTACTTGGTTTACTTGAAGGGGTTGTTGGGAAAGTTCATTTCTGTTTCCTCTCCATTGTTATTACTTTTGTCTACGGGCAAAGAGTTATCGTTTGTTTCACTGCAGGAGTATTTGATTTATTGTAAACCGTCTTTTAAAACAGGAAACACGACTTGAAGCAAATAAAACGAGCACTCGTAGGTCCTCTGGGGGATAAAATCTGTGAAAAAAATATTTTCACAGAGACTTTAAAAACCAAGTTTAAAGTGAGGGAGTGATTGGGATGAAATGAATACCTATGGATAAATACAAAAGAGAAACAAGGAATAGATGAATAAACAAAGATTAGAAAGACAAAACCATGGCAGTAGTCAGTGTGTAGTGCTGGGCGTGGGAGTGGGCGGGGCAACTCTAAGCTTCTGTTTACCCTCCTACACAGCCCTTATCACCCTGGTGTCATAATGCCATTGACTGAGGACTGAATCCAGGAAGTCATGAGACAGTCACACCTGCACTATGACAGACATCATGCTGGGTCATGTACTCTCACCTCTGCTAGTAATAAGAGTGAAAGAGTGAAAGCACCTGACGAGTCATCATATTACTGTTTGGACAGCGCTCTGTTTGCTTACAAGGCTTGTGTTTCTTGTTAATACCGTGTTACTGTCATTCACAACACAGTTTGACTCATGATCATCTGATTATGAGCTCTTCACTGGAGCACAGGACAGTTATTAACTGACTCCGTGTAGACTGTAGAGTTCTTGTTCAGCCGGACTGTTCTCACTCCCGTCTGACCCCTGAGGTCAGAACACCCACAGAAAGCTTTAAATCAGAGCAGCCCTGACAGCAGCAGAGGACGACCCACTAAGAAGTCTCATTAATGGG